GGGGTGCTCACCCTTCCCCACACGTAATCGACTCCCGAACCCGTTTTAAAGGAATCTTTGTAAACGCAGACCATTCTTGTCTTAAAAAATGATTTTTCTTAAAAATTGTTTTTAAAAGACGTTTTTAGGTATTCGACCTACCTAATTCAAAGATCAATGGCGACTCTCATACCAATTTATTTTAAATTAATCCAAAACCACCAATTTTTCCAAATTAAAATCATAATTGTTTTTAAAAATAATATTTAATTATTTTACAAAAAAAAAAAGGTTATGACATAAAGAATTGGCTACATGGCATGCATGAATCATTCTGGTGTTTGTTTAATATTTTCACAGAATATCTTTAAAATTGATGTTGTGCATGGTTCAAATTAATCGGCTTGTCTTCTATATTCGTCCCCTCGGTGCAGTAACTTCAACACTCGTCACCTTTAATAAGCAAAGATGTGAGAGAAAATACCAAGGCTAAACCATTAGAACAGAATGTACCTACCTACATACATAAGGCAGCCAAGTTTTGGATGATCATAAATGGCTGTCTGTCTACCCATGGACAACAACTTGTGTACGGTTTTGGTGAAAAGGAAGATAGTGTCTGGTTAAGTCACCTAACAATCTATTTAATGTCTCATTTTGATAACCCACTTAAAAATGGTGTTTTTCTTGAAAAATCACCGGTGATCGGTATATTTACCGATCTAGCATCGGTCAGATTATATTTTTTGATCTAACACCGGTCAGATTATATTTCCCGATCTAACACTCGTTGCACTAAAGCGCGCTCTCTGTCCCGCGCTATATGCTGATTTGGCGTCACGTGGTGTATAACATGCCCCCTATACCGCGCTATATGCTGACATGGCTTATACGTGAGTATAGCGCGCCCCCTGATCCGCGCTATACGCCACGTAGGGGTATAGCGTTGCCCCTGCTCAGCGCTATACCTGGGTATGAATTATATTTAGCGCGAACCTTTTATCTGAATAATTACATATATCACGGTGCAAGTACCTCACCTTATATGGTTATAAATACCCTTCACTTCTGGTTAAGTTTCTCACATCTCCTCACATCTCTCCTCTCAACTTATAAATTAATACAACAATTCCGTCAACGAGTAATAATTCTGGTAATTTTCTCATATTTGATTTAGAAGTTCGTGCGATTTTTTGTTATAAATTTTGTTATAATTTTTTTATTATACTTATTGTTTATTATGATTATTTGGAAAAATATTATATTAATTATTTTTTGTGTTTGTAAAATTGAAAAGTAAGAGCATACGTCAAAATAGTTTTGCGGTACATGTAATAATATAAAATTATATTATTTAAATTATTTACGTTGATGTGTAAAAAATTTATTGTGTTATATTTTCGTTCATATATAATTTATTTAATCAGGTTTGTTTTAGTTTTTTTTTTGCAGATATAATATTGTCGCACTTTTAAACTCAAAGAATGGCACGACTTTCAGCTATTGTTTATTATGATGGTGAAATTCGAGAAGATGAAACTGGCGTTGTTTTCGTATCAAATGAGCGTGTTAAAATATCATTAAAGAGAAACATAACTTTTGAGGAGCTGATAACGAAGATTTCGAGGAATTCATGTTGGAAGTAGTAGAAGAATGGTGTCGTTGCAGTACAGATTTCCAACATCATTGTTGACATTAACTTATACAACGTTCGAAATTTCGAACAATGATGATGTTCAAATGATGGTTGAAGCTCAAAGTAATTATTCAGATGTCGTTATTAAGATGTATGCACATTTTGTTCAAGTGTGTGTTGTTCGGGGTCAATCTTTAAGCTCCCACTATGGCCTGGCTGAACAAGTTGATCAAGTTGACAGCCCGACTACAGTAATGTGTAATGATTTTAATGCCATAATAAGGAGACATTCATCCGCAACTCCTTATGATATGTACCGAGGTGGGTCCACGAACAATCTGTATGGCAACATCGCATCCAGTCCAAGGAGAAGGCATTCATCTGCAAATTTCTTTGACCATATGGAGATGCCATCGACGCAACCATCTGTGCAGTTTCCATTTGACACGATGGCTTCAAGCTCCAGGGGAGGCATTCGACTACGAGTTTTTTCGATCTCAATGTCAATATGCCTTCCAGTTCAAGGGGAAGGCGTGCAAGTAGTAGGTTTTTCGACCTAAATGTGGAGAGCATGGAGGAACCATCATCTCCACCAGAAGAACCGCTTCGTGAGCCTGGTGCGGATGGTGCTGAGACTGGACTATTCATTCACCCAGAATTACCACAATTCAACTCCGATGATGATAAAGTTCCAGGAAATGTGGCACAAACTTACCCTCCTGCATACATGTATGAAGCTGATTATGGTGTAATGTACGAGCCAAAATTTACGGATATGCCTCATCTCGGTGACTATGTATATTACTCATCAATAAATAATGGTGAGTTATATTTAGGCGTTGAGATTTCAAGCAAAGAAGAAACGGTGATGGCTATAAAAAATTACAATATCCGTAATTCTATTCAGTCCAGAGTCAATCGATCGACGATCGAAAAATATATATGTTATTGTGCCCGACGCGAAAACGGATGCAATTGGATGGGTCGCATATCAAAAATGAAGAGGAAAAACAACATATGGGAACTAACAGTATATAACGGTCCTCGCACATGTTGTGCTGGTGGGGTCAACCAATATCATCCCAACTTGGACTCTGAAATGATATGCCAAGCCATCATGCCCATGGTAAAAACAAGCTCTCATATAGTTGTTGCAGTATTGATTTCAGCTATACAATCGCAGTATGGGTACACTGTCTCCTATAAAAAAGCTTGGTTAGCAAAACAAAATGCCATTGTCAAACTTCATGGCGAATGAGATGCATCTTACAACGAACTTCCAGGTTGGTTTAGGTTGGTGCGGACGTTGAATATTGGGACAATCGTCATCCAAACATCTGATGGGCCCCTCAACTCAGGTGAGATCACCGCCCTCACATCATCAGTACAATATGGCACCCATTCAAACTAAAACAAATATTATATATTTTTTATCAAAATAATAATCTAATTATATAACTATAATCTAAAATCGATTTTTAAACATTAAAATTCATACCTGTGTGCCAGCCTTCTGATCGATTAGCACCCTAATTTTTTCTAAATCATCAGGTAGCTCCTGATGATTTTTCCTATCAATAGACCACCTATTCAAGGAAAAACAATTATTATACGTTGTATAAAATTATTAATATAAAAAATCAGTTTTACAATTACCTCAGAATTAGTGGAAATACGAATGAGTTCTTCACAACGGGACATAAAAAGGGCAATCGATACCATGCCCAAGACTGCAGCAGCAGGAGACATCCGTCGATAGCATTACGCCTGTAGTCAGTGGCTCCACACATCTCCCTGTACAGCAAAGCCAAAAATGCCGAGCCCCAACTGAATGATCCGGCCAGACGAAAGTCGCTAAGATGTCGCAACCACATGCAGTGAACTAGGTTGCGCGATTTGTCCGGCATCAGCAACCCTCCTATCAACTGCAGTATGCATGCCCGTGCATACATCTTAACTTCATCATCAGAGGCGTCTGCGCTCAAATCCCGAAAATTGGCATCTAACCAATTTAACGGTATCCTACATCCGATAAAACTTTCCAGGACACGTCATAGATTATCCCAACACAAAGTAGTCCAGGAACCCTGCGAGATCCCTGATATCACATCTCATCCACCGGAAGCCCTGGGTGCATAGCAACATCCTCAAGTGTAATCGTCCACTCTTCGCACGGAAGATGGAATATGTGGGTCTCCGGCCTCCATCGTTCTACTAAGGCAGAAATAAGGTCTGATTTTATCTTACAGTGACCCTGATATCTACCTATGTAACCAAATCCAGCCTCTACTAAATACGACAAGACACGGCTAGGTATCACTAACTTAAGATTCCTAATAAAAGGATCTAATACACGATCCTTCACCTAAAATTAAATAATTACACAAATTAATTCTTATTCTAATAATCATGCATTAAATAAATCAACAAATTATTACAAATAATTTAAATTAAATTAAAACGTTAAAATGTTACCGTATCAGTAAAGTGTCGAGATATATGATTTCCATCCAACCGAAGTAGACCGCCTTCCATTATATATCTGCAAAAAATTTATATTAGTAAAATATTAAATAAAGAAAAATGCTTAAATAAATTAAATACATAATATTAAAATAAAATATACCTTAAATAGATAGAGTATTTGAGAGAATATGGTGTGATGAAAGTAATAGAAGATGGGAGTATTTATAGGAAGGATTAGGGGGTAATTAAAGATATAGCGCGCGCCCTGTACCGCGCTATACCTCACGTGTCATATAAACAGTTATAAAGCGGATCAGGGGCCGCGATATACCCACGTGTAAGCCATGTCAGCATATAGCGCGGTACAGGTGGTGCGCTATACCCCACGTGGCATCAAATCAACATATAGCGTGGGGCAAGGAGCGCGCTTTACTGCTACGGGTGTTAGATCAAAAAATATAATTTGATCGATATTAGATCGATAAATATACCGATCACCGATGATTTTTTAAGAAAAAAATCCTAAAAAATATCGTTGATTTAAATTGAACAACAAAAAGTAAAACAAGAATCCACCTTCAGTTTTGATGGGTCTTTAATGATTGAAGTTTTTATTTGCATATCTTAATGTTGAAAAGATTTCTTTTGAAACGGAGCATATATCTCTATTTGAGTTTTATCTAAACGGATTGGTTAAAATTAGAGAATAAAAAATCGGAACATTCAAAAGTATATTTGTGCGGTGTAATTTTTTATTAAATGAAAATTAAATTTATGTTTTCTGATAAAAAAAATTTTAAGATTCATCAACAATCAACACACTAAATAGGAGTCACCGTCCGTCCACCTTTTATGGAAGAGAGTATCAGAGTGTATTTAATATTAAAAAATGAGTAGAAGCAACAAGTATCCGCGAAAAGTCGAAAGGCAGAAAATAATGGGGAAGGGACAGGAGGAGAAAGTAAATGGCAATGGCAGCAGCTTGTTGGTGGAGCTGCCACTAGGCAAAGCAGCGGAGGGATTCGAGCTAGAGAAGGCAATATGCAGCCATGGGTTATTCATGTTGGCCCCTAACCATTGGGACCCAATCTCTCGCTCCTTCTCTCGCCCTTTACGTCTTACTTCTCCTCCGCTTACAGTCATGCTCCGCATCTCTCAGCCACCCACTTCCTCTTCCACTCTCCACCTCCGCGTTCAAGGCACCTCTGCCCTCTCGCCATCGCACAGTCACTCTCTTTTAAACCAGGTGTCCAGAATGCTGCGGTTGTCGGAATCCGAGGAAAACAATGTGAGGAAATTTCAAAGCGTTGTCGAAGCATTACATACAGAAGAAAAAGATGAATTAGCGACCCAGTGTTTGAGGAGTTTCGGTGGGAGAGTTTTTAGGTCCCCTACTCTGTTTGAAGACATGGTCAAGTGTATACTTCTCTGCAACTGCCAGTACGTTACTTTTATGCATTTTCTCTTATTCAGCTTTGAAATTTTAGCCTCGTCTTCATCCTGTTTGATATAATGCCGAAGTCATCATTTTATAGGTTTTCAAGGACCTTGAGCATGGCTAAGGCACTCTGTGAGCTTCAGTTTGAAATTGAACACCAAATTCCTAGTGTAAAGGCTGCTGAAGAAGACTTCATCCCCAAAACGCCTACCTGGAAAGAGTCAAAGAGAAAGTTGAGGGTGTCTAAAGTCCCCATGCGTTTAGAAAGCAAATTCACAGAGGCAAAAGCAGATAATTCAGGGTTGGATCTTCAGGCCTCCCAAGATATAGAAGAACCATGTGACTACAAAGGCATGGGAAGCTTCCCCAGTCCCGAAGAACTAGCTAACCTTGATGAAAGTTTTCTTGCAAAACGATGCAATATGGGGTACAGAGCAGGTAGAATTTTAAAACTTGCGCAAGGAATAGTCCAGGGAGAGATTCAACTAATGCAATTGGAAGAAGATTGCAAGGAAACAAACTCGTCCAATTATAATAAGCTATCTGAGCGGCTGCGTCAAATTGAAGGGTTCGGTCCTTTCACATGTGCCAATGTGCTAATGTGTATGGGTTTTTACCATGTCATTCCATCCGATTCTGAAACTATCAGGCATTTGAAGCAGGTAATTGATTCATTTCCCTAAACAACGTGCCTTGTTGAAGGTTTTTCTTTTTAGGACATCTAGAGTGGTATATTCTCATACTATTTGAACCCTTCGGGGTTTCCCCCTCTCCGACACTTGCATAGTATCTGAGCAACTGCAGGTTCATTCAAAAAGTTCTAGTATAAAGACTGTTGGAAGGGATGTCGAGCTTATCTATGCAAAATATGCACCATTTCAGTTCTTGGCGTATTGGTAAGTCATCTAACAACTTTGCTCGCGAATACTTTTGCTAACTCTACTAATTTCTTTTTATTTTCTCCGTTGAAATGTGATCAGGGCAGAGCTGTGGCACTTTTATGAGCAAAGGTTTGGTAAATTAAGTGAACTGCCTGTCTCTGATTATAAACTCATAACTGCTAGCAATATGAAGATGAAGAAGACGATAGCAACTCGTAAAAGGGCTAAGGTATCTACCAAAGAGTAACCCTAACATCTATTTTATTAACAAAAATGATGGTAATATTAATTTAATGCCTGTTGCTCTTAAAGTGTATGATAACACCACCTATATGCCATATTTGCATGCATAATTTCACCATGCCATTTTGGATTATGGCATCCTACCCAACTGATTCCTTGCAATCTTAAGTAATTTTTTAGTTGACTCGTGCCTTGATTAAGTTAATTTTTTCTATCATAATTGTGTTCCAAGTGTTGCATAAATTTTTAACATCTTAAGTAATTCATTTTACAAAGATAATGGCATCGGCTTCCTTGAAACAATTACTTTAGGTGCAAAGGATCTTTTGTGGTCAAGGACTGATAGCATTTTGTATTTGATAAATATATATTTTGACATGTGAACTTACTTCAAGATTTAATTTGATGTTTTGCATTTTGCTATACAAGTTATTTCAAAGTATACTCTGCAAATTTTCGAAGGTTTGAGTTCAAGTTGACACTTGAGCTATTGGTTCAAACTAATATTTGAACTTTACTTCTTGATTCGAATTACATTTACCCTTTCACATTTAAAAAAGCTTTATTGTATTAAAAGAATTATTTATTTCTTGGATAAAACAATCACAATTGGAAACAATACATATACAGCACACTATGAATATACACTACGCTCATCCATTACTAAGTTTTTTCAAGGGCTTAGGTTTAATCGACGGTCGAATTCCTTTATTCAAATTATATTTATCCTTTATGGATAAAACTAGACCTATAAACAAACTGAATAAACATGAACGAGAATGTGTTCATGTTCGTTCGCTTAATTTTAACCGAATAAACAAACGAATACGAACAACTAAACGAGCAAAATTTATTGTTTGTGTTCATTAAGAAATATAGTTTGTTTATATTCGTTCATTAAAATGATAAACAAATATAAATGAACAAATGTAAACAAACAAACATAAACGAACAAACATAAAATTAATCAAATTTATATTTGAGAAGAGGATTTTTTTTTACAAATAGCTTAAGGGTTTATATTATTTAATTGATATTTTTTATTTGGGTTTGAGGTTAAAAATTTTAGGTCTTAATATTTTAAACAAGTTTGAAGATTGAGTTGAATATAAATGAACGAATATAACGAACGGATTATAATATTCATGAACATAGAATCTTGTTCATGTCTATTCGTTTAATATATAAATGAACGTAAACAAACTTCTCACAGTACGATTCACGAACGGTTCACTGAACATTTGTTTCGTGTACATGCCTATATAAAACAAAAATACATAAACAGAACATATATGAATATACACTCCGCTCATTCATTACTAAGTTTTCTTTTTGAACATACATTCATTACTAAGTTCAGTTTACTGAAAAACGAAAAGAAAATATGCTCCTATGATGTTTTATGCTATACATTGTATTAAGTTTAAAAAAATTACTGTTTTCATAGCGTGTTACTGAACTATATTTACCCATTCAGTCTCATGGTTAGCCCTCATCTGTTAAGACTTGAGAGCAACCAGGAGTAGGCCCTGGATCCATCATTGTAACCATTTGCGGTGGAGTAATTCTTTTTCGAACAAGCATTTCCAGAGGGGCATGTTCTTTTCCGTCCACCTCTTGGCCTTGACCGAAACTGCTCATCGGACTCTATGATGTCCCCCTGAGCAGAAAACGGTTGTCAAAACCATTAATATATGTCTAACATGAAGAATACCAGCACAAAACAACTTGTAACAGCATTTAGTTATTGACAAGTAAATAGCTTACTGGAACATAAACATGTTGGGCTGATTTCTCATGGTTATCTCTAACATGCTTGAACGCAAATCTCATACCACAACCAGAGAAGCTACATGCAAAAGGCTCGAGTTTTTCATGCACAGCCTTGAAATGCTGACGCATATTTGATTTCTGTAATAGAGTATTTCCGTAAAGGGGGAAAAGGTTTACCATCAGAAAACATTTTAGTAACCAAAACTTTCTTAGACCAAAATAATCACATTCAAGTTCTGCTTAAATGTGTAAAAAGCATATTTTGAGGTTCACAGCATCTTACAGTTGAAAATGTATGGAGGCAACCCTCAAAATCACACTTAAATCTTTCTGATGCAACATCTGATTCATGTGATCGAAGATGCCGCTTGATGTTCTTCTTAAGCTGCTTTGCCCCACATATTTCACAATTAGTATATTGGTGGCTGTAGAAATCAGAGTAATTCTCTGTAATTTCTTATTCTTTTCAATATGACAGATTACATATTTATATACAAAATATCTCTCTAAAGTAGGAAACTCTAAAAAAGGAAAAATAATAATCCTAGGATATAATCCCTTAAAATAAGGGATTATAGAAATCTATTTACAAAATCATATCTCTATAGGAATGGTAACAAATCATCTCTATAATTCACACACTCCCCCTCAAGCTGGAGAATATACATTGTATAATCCGAGCTTGAATAGGAATTTATTGAAAACAGGCTTTGGCAAAGCCTTAGTAAGAATGTCTGCAACTTGTTCTTCTGAAAGAATGTATGAAAGTGTGGCTGTCTTTTTGTTAACTTGATCAGCAATAAAATGCCTATCAATCTCAACATGTTTTGTCCGATCATGTTGAACTAGGTTCTTGGCAATTTGAATAACAGATTGATTATCACATAAAACTTCAAAGTGATCCTCTTGATTAGTGACGAGTTCTTTCAGTAGTTTAAGTAGCCAAATTCCTTCGCATATTCCCAATGCTAGTGCTCTAAATTCAGCTTCAGCACTACTTGAAACGACAGATTGTTTCTTACTTCTCCAAGTTGTAAGGTTTCCCCAAACAAAGGTGCAGTAGCCACTAGTGGATCTCCTTTCAGTAAGGTCTCCGGCCCAACTAGAATCTGTAAATATCTTAACAGTTTTGTCTTGTGTCTTCTTAAACATTAAACCGTGTCCTAGAGTTTTCTTCAAGTACTTGAGAATTCTATTTGTTGCTGCCATATGCTCTTCAGTAGGATTAGTCATGTGTTGACTTATCACATTTATAGGAAATGCTATATATGACCTTGTCAAGGATAAATAAATTAGTTTCCCAACTAATCTTTGAAATTTCTCTTTGTCTACCAAGGACCCATCTTCTTTGTTAAATTTCAAACTTGCCTCCATTGGTGTATCAATCGGCTTACAACCAAGAAAACCAGTTTCTTTGAGTAAATCAAATACATATTTTCTTTGGTTGATCACAAGTCCTTTTGACCTTGCCACCTCCATTCCTAGGAAATACCTTAGCTTTCCCAAGTCCTTGGTTTCGAATTCCTTATTTAACAACTTCAAATTGCAAATCTCTTCTTCATCATCTCCGATAAGAATTATGTCGTCCACGTACACAATAAGGATAGCTTTCTTATTTGTAGAAGTTACCTTGATGAAAAGAGTGTGATCGGCGAGAGATTGCTTGTAACCGTTTTTAGGATGACTTTAGTGAACCTCTCGAACCAAGCTTGGGTGATTGTTTTAACCCGTATAGAGACTTGTTGAGCTTGCACACCTTGTTACTTCCTTCAACAGACTTTAAGCCAGGTGGCAACTTCATATAGACTTCTTCTTTTAGCTTGCCATTAAGAAAAACGTTTTTTACATCAAGTTGGTATAATTTCCAATCGTAATTTACAGCCAAACTTAGGAGTACTCGAACAGTATTCAGCTTCGCCACAGGTGCAAAAGTTTCTGTGAAATCTATTACATATGTTTGTGTAAAGCCTTTGGCCACTAGTCTCGCTTTGTATCGTTGGATGCTACCATTTGAGTTATACTTTACAGTAAAGATCCATTTACAGCCAACAACCTTTTTTCCTTGAGGAAGGTCTGTAATAGTCCAAGTAGCATTTTTCTCCAGTGCACAAATTTCCTCTTCAACAACCCTTATTCATTTTGAATCCTTTAGAGCTTCAGCTATGCTTGTGGGAACCTGTTCTTTATCCAAGTTTGTTGTAAATGCTTGAAAAGACGCATCAATGAATTATAACCAACAAATTTTTCAATAGGATGCTTGGTGCACTGTCTAACCCCTTTTCTAATAGCAATAGGGAAGTCATCTAGAGAAAGGAAGTGGACTTACTGATTTCTTCTTCTATTTCGGCAGCTGGACCCAAATCCAATTCTCGGCAAGCATCAGATTGCAAAACAGCCTCAGGAATATGTTTTCTTTTCCTTGTATAGAAACGAAGTTGTTTGATTGGTGTTGTTTGTGGAATATTTTGAATGGGAGTAGGTGTATTTTCAGGAAGAGTATTTAAAGTGGGTATGGGTGAAGTTGTGATAGGTACTACCGGTGGATCAATGGGAGTAATTACATATGACAAATCTGTAGGTAAGGACAAAATTGGTGGCAATTCTGAAGGTTGAGAATAAAGAGTAGGAGGATATCTGATGTGGCTGAAAATCCTTCCATGTCTCCCTCTGAATTTCAGCCCGAGTGAAATAGGGATCTGCTCATAAAATGTTATATCAATAGAGGTAAAAAATCGTTTTGAAGAAGGATGATAGCATTTATAACCCTTCTTAAGTGAAGAATACCCAACCAGTACACACTTTAATGATTTAGGATCTAACTTGGACTTATTAGGAGCAATGTTTTGGATAAAAACAGTACAACCAAATATTTTAAGTGGAAGAATGGAAGAGATAGATTTAAAATGGAGAAAGTATTGCAAAAATATAGATTGATGTGTTTGAAATTATAAAACCTACTACATATAATAAGGCTTCCCCCACATATTTTAGAACATTAGTGGTAAATAGAAGAGAACGGTAACTTCAAGGAGGTGTATTTTTTCTTTCGGCAATACCGTTTTGTTGTGGGATGTCAACACAAGAACTAATCTGAACTATACCCTTTTCCCTGAAAAACGCACCCAAAGACTTAGCAAAAAATTTACTGCCATTATCAGATTTAAAGAGTTGAATTTTAGACCCAAATTGAGTGAGAACCATGTTATAAAATTGGATAAAAACACCTGCAGTTTCAAATTTATCTTTTAGCAAATAAGTCCA